TTTGAATTGAAGAATAACATGCGTTCACTCATATTGGGAAGTGAAGAATTCATATTATTATATTCGAAGTCGATAAATCGCTATTTTATCTTCTCAAATCAGATTTCGGTAAGTCGAATGATGTTTCGATTTCACGCATATTAACGACACGCTCTTGATGAATATAATATGCACATTATCGGTGTAATATCTCCTACAACGTCCAAATCCCAAACCGGGGGATGCTCCTGATATTGTCGAGGAGATTTGAAAGGGATCGTTCTAGGCATCTGCAGACGAGCAACCAAACAATGAAAGAGTCTTGTTTCAACCAAAGCTCACCTGGAACCATTTACTAATTGTTTTTTAGCAATTCCAAAACGAGAGTCTCTTTGCTAAGCTTCAAAATGATCCACTTGTGTAAAGTTATTTATTTCAAAAAATTTATCAGGAAACAAATATCAGAATGAAGATGAAACATGTATTTAATCCGTTCCAGGATCCATCCAGAAAACATGGTACACTGCACCATACAAACATAAGAGAGTTCTAGGCATCACACATAAACGTCGGTTTATACATTCTGGTTGATAAGCTCTCTTCAATGGAAAGGCAGCCGCTCCACTGCTGGTAATGGAGCAGAACATGATATCAACTAGAAATGGAAAACTCAGGCTACTGATAAAAGTCACAAGTTGCCTCATCAATGGAGTTGTGCACGCCTGACGACATCTAAGGGCCATCTTCCTCGGCTGAATAAGTAGGTACAGTGACATATTTGTACAAAAATGAACGCGTACGACATGCATCGTATGCAGTAGGCAGCATTCCCCGGAATAGGCCGTATAAGAAATTTAGCATAAATTAATAATGAACAAATAGTATGTACACAGTATTATGGTGGATTAAGGTAGTCAGCATTGTCTATTTTTTTATATTAAAAATAACGTCATTTGCTCTATTAACCATGTAACGTAATACATAGGTCGGAGATAAGTTTAGGCTGAATTAGAAAATGTATAGTAAAATAAAAGAAATACCTTAATCCATCATAATACCATCTACTTAGTAATGTGCCTTATAATTTAATACTAAATTCCTTAAATGGTCTAATCCAGAGTGCCAAAAGCACCCTTAGTGCATAGGACTGGACAATATTAATAGACAAGATTTTAATTTCTTTTTCTTGCCTAATATTGTCTAGTACTATGCATTCAATCTTACCAGACGTGGCAAGAGAGTAGAAGTGAGAAAGGGTAATAGTTGCTATTCTTTTTCCTTTTCTCCAGATATTAAGGGGTGGGGAAGAGAGGAAGGGACTTACTGCTCAAAATAAATCCTTGTAGCAAGCTCTGAGCTCTCTCAGCTTGCTCCGGAGTCCCTGATATTTGGATGATCTTGTCTGTTACCTCTGGTCTATCTTCCATCAGTTTAACATTCGCTCCTGATAGCTGTTTGCAACAATTTTTTTGTCATTAACTTGTATAATCTCCTCGTCTGAAAATGGTATCAAAGGGTAAAACAAACCAGAGATGCTCAACTCACATCACTGATAAGAGTGAGCTTGTTTCTTGATTTTGTTACAAGTTTGGATGCCACATTTGGTGTTATAACAATTTCCAACGTACTTCTGGTAACAAGTGGTACAGATATTCTGGGAAAAAGAAAATGAATATGAAATAACAATAACATGAAATTCCACCCCAAGAAAAGTGAACAAAAAATTACTACCTATTCAACATATTAGGAATATCTTCACGACGTTCACTTCCATTTTGTTTCACAGTTTCACTAACTGAGGGCCCCACATCCTGCAAATAAAGTAGTAATTTTTTACACGTGAAAATAAGGAGCTATAAAATTGGATGATTGTAATAATGCAAGCAGTAAACTCCCTCCCGAAGGAAACAAGTCAGCCACGTACTGCTCGCACTTTCACTAGGCAAGTTGGCACTATAGAAATTGGAAACAGGTTAAAAACACCAGTGGTCACTGAAATTTCATCACTAAACTTCATTTTGTTGCGAGTTGGTAACTGAACTTGAACATTTATTACATCCTGGTCATTTAGTCTATGGCCATTAATTTGACTATCCAAAAAGTTGACCTAGAAATCCAGTTGAAAAATGACAGCCATGTTACTTTTTCCTATAGTTAGACTAACAACAAACATGGACGAAGTGCCATAAAATATAACAGTGTCAAGATTAACGAACAACTTGAAACAAAATGAAATCAACCGACTAACATGAAATTTCACTAACCAATGTATTTAACCCAGTTGGAAACCCAGTAAAAAAACTCATATTTGTGATGCTTTGGAATGATCTATTATCTGGCTTCATGGATAAAAAAGAAAGGATGGAATGGAAATTATTGTTGGCTGAAAACTTTAAAATATAAGGCAGTCAGGATACAACAATAGCAGCAGCAACAGCTAAAACAGTGGGACTTCAGAAGAAAGAAGCACAACAAGTGTCCGTTTGGCAAAATTTATAAATGGTCAAACTTCATTATCAAACCACTCATTTCTATCGATTTATAAATTAAACCATTCACAAATTCTTCCCAAACAGATTCTAAATTGCTTACTTTTGCTTGCTGTTCCGTTACTACAGTTGGTGTACTCAGATGAGCTGATTTGGTTGGACTATTCCCAGGATGAATTTCTTGAGATTGAGTGATGCTGATGCTAGAAATTGCCTTGTGTTCCACCTCCGCAGGGTTAGGAGCAGAAACGGGAGTCGGGACATCCAGCTCAAGGAACTCTCGATAAATGTAACTCCTTAGCTTTGACGTTACCTCGACTAGAGCCTCACGAGCAGCTTTGATCTCCCCAACAATCTGTGTATGAAAGTGGAGGTAAGAATGCAAAAATTGTCATTCCTCATTTTGGCTAACTTGTTTATTCTTGCTAGAAAGTTTTTAATGTAGAAAAGTAACTTTTAAGCACAGCCCAGCGAGCCCAGAATCAATCAGCTCTTGTTTCATATGATACTGCTGAGGCATATTGTCTGATACTGCAGACACAGTATCTTATGCTTTGGATCACCAAAAAAGTACCATAAGAAGTTACAGAAGCACACGTATTAAATGAATACGAGACTCACGAGTATATAAAATGGCAAACCTGTAAAATTCCATCAGTTTCAGATACAAATGCTGGCTGTTCTTCCCTAGGAAGAATGTGTATGTTTGCACTGGTTGCTTTCCTCATCTCAGGTAACAATCCATCTTTTAACCCTAAGCATCCAATTTCATCCGACTGTAGAAGTAACCGAGTGGTGATAATGTTTTCTTTTTCTGGGATGAGGTTGACAATACGGGTTTGAATATGCAACAAAGCTTCTTGAGCAGGGAACAGCTCATCATCAGGGCCCTAAGAGACATATTTTTTTCAAAAAAAAAAAAAAAATGGTATTCAGGACCTGTAGAAAATGCAAAAAGCTAGACAAATCTTGATCCACAGTATACACTTGATAAGATATTCAATTTTAAGCAAAAGTTGAAAAAATGTAGAAACCCAAGAATGCTCAAAGAATAGTTAATGCAAATTATAACTACCTAAAGAAAGATAATTTTTCTACTCTACTCCCTATAGCACAAGAAAGAAGAGGGGAGATGAAGAGGAGAGAATTATTTTTATATATATTTAGAGCATATTTGGCAAAGCTCAAAAGATGCTCTTAGTCGGTATACTGCAATTGAGGTCAGATTAGTCCATTTCGCTACTCTTTCCTCCTTTTCCTCCAATTTTGGGAGGGAAAGTAAAACTGACCTGGAAGGGTTAATACTCCACTTTTACTTCCTCACTCTTTTCTCACCCCAAACTGAACAAGGTGAAATATAGCTTTTACTTCCACTTCTACTTCCCCCCACCTCTCCATGCAACTGTTCAACACAACCAACCTGGGCTAAGAGATAAGGAAATGTACCTCATCGGATGAAATAATAATTATGCGTTCGTCCACGCCAGCAACTGGATCTATAACCTTAACATCCACGCCTATTTCATCTTGAAGCAACTCCTTAAACCCATTTGATTCCCCAACAACACTATCAACCTTGTCAACTGGGCAAAGTATTCGAAACACGAGATCTTCACTAGAAAAAGCTTGTGCATCTTGACCCATAGATTCGGGTACAGATTCATTAAGATATCCGGAAGGATGCGAAGAAAAGTTATTGCTCCTGGAACCAGCAGGAATCCTTGATCCATAATTTGGTCCTTCCGCAGAAGATTTTCTTGATGAAGTATTAATAGGGATAAAATTATCATCTGGAGGAAAGAAACGCTCAGGGGAATGTAGCCGATTATGAAATGGCTTCTGTCACGATGTTGACTCTCTCTTAAGCGTGAGGAAATAATTGCTACAGCATTCTTTACAGCGTTCATATCCCCAACAACCTGCAAAAGAGAACAAATTTCTCAGCGACCGCAATCAAATTAATAAAGTTCTTCCAATGCAATGGTAGATAGTACTATTATAATTAAATTTTCACCATACGGCAAAATGAGTAGGTTCATGATCTTCTAGAACGAGTTTATTCAATTTGGAATGAATACTAATGACCATTTTTGTGCATGTTTGCTTAAGCTTAAAAGATTTACTGGCAAGTAAATAAGCAAGTTTTAAAATACACAATTTATAATTGATCAAATTTGAATATAAGTAAGGTACTTAATTTTGAAAGTAAGTCGTACCCTAGAATCAAATGAACATTTTTTTTTTTAACTTTCAAGTTAGAAATAGGTAACATATCGAAAAATGTTCTTTAGATAGATACTTCAGCATATATACATCTCTTATATTCATCAATCCACAAATAAGCTTAACGGTATTTACCATGTATAACTTGGCTCTAACTTAGAGGCAACAATAATTAGTTGGTGAACTTCTCCTTGTTCTTCAGTGAGAAATATCCAATATTACATCAAATGTGCATAGCTTCAAGATGGAAAGAATTAAAACCACAAAATCAAACTTCAAGCTTTCAGAAAGTCGCTAAATGAATATAACTGAACGATATTCTAGTAGCCTACACATTACAACAGGCCTGCATTGCTCAGAAGGATCACTTGGAACATAAAAAAGCGTAACTCAGAATAGGTTCTAGTACTCTATGCTATATATTTATGATAAACGAATGTTCATACTTCTATATTGTTTCAATTCATATATTTAGTTAGTCAAACATTTAATGACTGCTTCTAATCACGTAACCATATTCATCACTATCGCGTGTCAACTATTTCATCATTGTCGCATGTCAACAAGCCACGTCATCCTATAGAGATGAACTACAGCTCGCATTTAAAATTAGATTATCGTACTATCTTTAACAATATTGCATTAGATAATTGTGCTCATCCCACAATTTGCTCACGCTTGTAAGACCACATGGTTATCGCTCAACTAGAAAAATATACACGTTTCAAATTCCACATTATTTAAGTTTTAAAAGTGTAACTGCAACTTCCAAAATCATAGCTAGTTTAGGTCATTCTTCGAGTTCAAAAGCCAAGGAGTGTATCAAGTCAATATAATCTCTAATGTACCACATCATAAATGCTTTCCACCTAGGATGCGAAATAAACACGCAAAGCTCCAAATGAAACAAGAACCAAGACCTGAACAATCTCTTCTGACATTGCGACGCAACGTGGCAATGTGTGATCTCGGGGTAAAATCCTAATGTGCGTCTTAGTCTCAATCCTCATTTGCTCAATTATCTTCCCTCCTTTCCCAAGTAATGATCCCACATGCATTCGTGACACTACTAATCTCGTCACCACCCGGTTACCATTATTACCATTCCCACCACCACCTCCCCTCGGCCCAAACTCATCAATTGGATCATCCCCAAACCCAACATTATGTTTCAACCCTGCAACATCATTCTCCAAAATGCGCTCATGAATCAAGTACAGCGCCTCTTGAGCAGGTGAGAACGCAGGCATCCGGCCATCTGGGTCCCGTCTCCTTGTATCAGAAATTTCAATAATTCTCTCTTCATCCCCAGGAATCAGCTCGTGCACATTGATCCACGCCCCGGTATGCTGTCTAATGGCCTTTATAATGCTCCCGGATTTTCCAATAACACCCCCAGCCTTTAAATCATGGCAAAGAATTCGATAACTGGTTGTAACCATCAATGAAAGATCTTGCACTTTCCGTCCACCACCCCCACTCCCACCTCCCGCAACAGATCGACGGTGGTTACCAGAAACATAATGTTGTCCTCCTCCCACTCCGCCCCCTCCTCCACCGCCGCTATGGGAACTACTATATCGGGGTTTTGTCCTCGAGTGTAAGTTTTCGGAATCATAGTCCTGGTCATAATAATACCTCTTAGATCTCGATCTCTCCATCCGATTCAGTTCAATCTCCTCAAATTTCAACTAAAACCCACAAATTTATCTGAAAAGGTTCGAGATTAAGCATTACAAAACAAATCCAATTAGGGTTTTTCCGGAACCACAATTTTGTCAAAATTTCTGCGCTTTTTCTCTAGACAGAGAATTTTTCTCCTTTTTGCTCAAGAAATGCCATTAAAAATGAGTTGGGTAAGCTATAAGCAGAGAATTTTTTGGGTTTTAAGCTTTGAGCAGAGCAAGCAGCAGACAGTGATTCTTGAGTATATTGAGATTTTGTCAAGTCTACTGTATCCGTATGTTACCTAGACTTACGACTTCATTGTATCTATAATTAATAAGGTTTTTTTTTCGTAGAAAATAATGTGAGGTGGGAATTTTACACGTTTACACGTATTCAATTTCGTGCACCGTTGTCAAATAATTGTAAAACGGGGTCGTTTATTCAGTGAACTTGTCTGAAAATAGTAGGTGAGGTCCCTAACATTTCGCGTGATAAACATTTATCTCTAACCTAATAAGAGGAACAATCCCATCCTCAACCTTTTAGTTTTTTTTGTTTTTTTTTGGAAGTTAAGATTGTTTTGTACAAAAACCATCACATTAGCACTTTGTGCGCATAGTTCGTGATTTCCAAGGTCGAAATCATCACGAGACCTTCAAACTGCATTTCCATGCATATCAACTCGAATATTGCATGGCGATTTTGTCCCCTAAAATTATGGACCTTTGTTTATTTCACGTACTAATTTGACAATTCCATGAACACTTTCCATCCAGGTGACCTTGGTTGCCAAGAAAATGAAAAGTTGAGAATACGATTGACCTTTTTAGTAGCTTGGAGACCCAAAATGCTCCTCAAGTGAAAGTTTAGGGACTTTTGCTGCTATTTTCCTAAAAATAAGTATACATTCGTCGATTTTGAAGAATAGGATTAAAAATGGTAATTTAGAGAAATAAGTATTTATTTGTCTTAATAGTAAAATTAGTAAAAGCGAATGATTGTATGTGAGTAAAGAACATTTTTCTATAAAAGAGCGTATTTAAGCCCTTATTTGTTTTTCATTATTTTTAAAATACATTTTTTCTCTTATTTTTAATCATAAATTCTTTAATAAAATAATATTACATTCAATTCAAATTTTTTTTTATTTTTAACTACACATTCCCGATCAAATCACTATTCTAAGATGTGTTTTTGGCTGAAAATGGGGCTAAAACAAGCTGTGTAAGTCAATCTGCAATGAAATTAGTAAAATTTGAATATTTTTTAGTCAGTGTATGTTAAGTATTTTTCAATAAATGACTTTTTTTTTTTAAAATTTCAATTACCAAAAAATGAGAGAGACATTTTTGCCATGTTATAAAAGTTTTAACTAAAGTTCTTTTATTGCTTATGATAAGAGTTACATTAATATTTGTACCACGGCGTTACATATATTTGTATAAAAGAATAAAAAGGAAAATTTACAGCTTTCTAAATCTCCTACCAAAATTGGATTTGGAATAATGAAAAAAATTGCAATCATCATCATCAATAATTACTTGATAAAACTGTTATTAGTTTATTATTTTTCGTGCTCAAGTTCCCTAATTTCGATTTTTATTAATAAAAATTGTTAAGTTGTCACATACTTAGATGAGAATATAAGCGAGAGAATAGTATTGTCTAACACTAACTCGAATCGTTTTGAGACACAAATCGACCTAATTTGAGAGAGAAAGAATATCATAAAATATCATAAATCAATTTGGATTAAGAAATCAAAAAAAAAAAAAAAACTCTGTACCGCCTAGTCATCAACAATACAACATGGGCCCATATTGGTACAAAATTGTGGACCGAGCCCATATTGTACATTGGGCCCATTAACTATCTTATTGACTCCGTTAAATCCACCGATGATAAAAGCAGAGCTCATTTTACTCTTCAATGGCCGTCTATTCACCCCCGTTCACTGGCTTATCATCTTTACACTTCTCAGCTGTAATTTCTATTTTTTTTTTTTTAAATTTTCATTTAATTTCCAGTGAATTTGTTTAGAAAAATTTATAAATGAAAATAGCTTTTTTGAACTCCAGATTAATTACTAATACTATAATTTTCGTCAGAAGTTTTTAATTGTTTGTGCGAATCTCTATGCAGAGAATTGAAGTTAAAACTGAGAGACAATGGAGTTTGAACTGTGCTATGAAGCCACCGGTGAGATATTGTGATGTGCAGTGGGTGATTTTATTTTATTTTTATTTGTGATTATTTGATTAATAGGACAGTACAAGCTTGCGAAACTCGGGTGGCAGTTACAGGCGAGTTTGGAGGCGGAGAAAATTGGTAAAATACGAACACCTCTAATTGCCTGTTTTATATATATTACAATTCAATGCAATGATGCAAATAGGTTCTGATATTTATTTCTAAAATATTGCGATTTAATTGTGAATTATTTGTTGATAAGTGAAGGAGTTGATTGGGTTTGGCTAAGCATAATTTTTTTTCTGTAAACTGACTAATAAGTAACAAATTAAGTTTTAAAATAAATATTTTTTTTAATGGTGAAACGCAAAGATAGAAATATCTATGTTAGAATCTCTGGAGCAGTAGTCTTTTTATTTTTTAACTTGAAGTAAGAAAAAAAGTTGTTCAAACATATTTGGCCACAAAACTTTATATCTTTTTAAGGCTTAGCCAAACACGCAAAATTATGTTCCAGGAACTTTATTATTGCTTTGTTCGAAAGTTAAATAAAAAAGATTAAGTTGAAGGATGTCTTTTCTGTGTGTATAGACGATGAAGGATACATGAGTTAAAATGATGGTACGACAAAAAGGGTGAAAGTTTTGAAATGTGGAGATATATGCTCTTCACCTTTATACCTTTTGATTGTTTTGAATTGAATTCTAGTCTTGTTTGAAGAGAAAATGGTAGAGAATTTAATTCAACATCAACATTGTTAGCAATAAAAAGTTGTGCTGATATTGTGATCACGCGGGTTGAATGTTTCGGATTAGCGCATAAATATATTTTTCCAGCATATTATAAGTTAAAACCTTAGAACTTAGTTTCAAAATGTATTCCAAGCTTTAATAGTTGCTGAATCTGGCCTTGACTCTACATGTTATAAGTATGACACCTTTTTGCCAATTCCTCATAAGGAAGTGATTACAGCTATCCCTTTCAAACTGTCCATTAAATTGTGAGACTATTTGGGTGAGAATATCTGTCTTTAGGACTTAGGAGCCTCATTAGTGTAAACTTAACAAAGGAAGATTGGGCACGAAAAGGAGGATTCATCCATGATCAGTAAGTCCTGCATTTGATCTTCCTAAAGAATGCCTGTCCTCTCATTTGGCAAAATCATAATCATCATTAGCTGAGTTTTAGATGACCATACTTGGTGCGTTGGTAGAGTTTCCATCAATACTTCAGAAATATGATGAAGGATAAATGTATGTATTGAATACTATAGCAAATATTAATTACTTAAATGCTCATTTCATGAATGGTTTTGGAATTGTGGAAATTTGTTTGATGGTTTCGTGCTTTGGGGTCCTGTACGATATGATGTAGAAGTCGTATTATTATAGGGAATTGGAAAATCGCAGGCCAATTTCAGAAGAATGAATCTAAAAAGGATCAACAGTAGCTTCAAATCTCAAAAAAAAAAAAAAGAAAACGCGTATATCTGTTCGGTTGTAAAAGAGAAATACCTCAGGAAATAAAAAGGAGGAAAAGCAACCTTTAAGTAACAACTAACAACTTAAAAACAAAACAAGCAAACAACTTCAAAATCAAAAAAGGCATTTTTGGACTACTTAAAGAAGCGCCAAGCTGAAAAAAATGAAAATGCACTTTTGTGTTCCGCGAACCTAATCAATCCCCTTATCTATCATTTCGAAACTCAGGTCTTTGCTGTGGGAAGTGGACCTCCATTCCTCCAGCATCACCAGATGCCTGGATTTCATTATGAACATGCTCTCAAGTATTTATAACAAATTCTTTAAGAGATCCTATTGTTTTGAAAATTTTCCCCGTGTTTTTCCCCATTTGAGTTGTCTTAAGATCTCATTATATGGGTATAAAACTGTAATGGCTCGTTTTGACCTCCGTTTCAGGTCAAGAAAGATGATATGTTGGACTACAAAATGGAAAGAATTCCTTTTCTGGAGGAGCAGGTAAGGAAGATAAGAGAAGGCGGAAAGCTCTTAACAATGGACATTCATAGGTTATTATTGTCAGAAGACAACAGGTTCCACTTTGTGAACGAAGTGGCTGCTGAGGCCAAGCAGTACGTTGAGAACAACCGGGATGAGTACGGTGCAAAGAAGGCGATCCTTCACGTCCTCAGCAATCGTATGAACGATGCTGGATTTTATCGTCCGGAGGCATACATGGAAGCAGACCCCTTCAAGCCAGGTCCTGGATATCTGAAAGAGGAACTTTAGACGGGTATGTGTTGCCTGGTTTTTATGTAAAGGTTGTAGTTTAGTTACATTCATGTTATTTAACTTTTGGATATTTTGTGTTGTGTGTTGAGGGATCTACATCTATTAAATATTGAATATATAACCAATACATAAAAACTTGTGTCACTCTTCTTAACAAGGTTGATAATTTAAGATGAAATTTCAAGTTTTAATATAATATCAAAGCCAACCGTGTAAAGCTCAAACAAGCAATCGAATTTCGAGATTGATGATTTCAAACAAGCACTATCTTGCAATTGAAATTGTAGCCAACATATAAGTCATTGAGTCACTTATCTTAATAATGTTGATTTTTTAAGGACCAACCCCATTTTTAATCCCATGAAGTAGACATTAACCGTGTCAACTTGACGACCATGTCATCAGAATCGTTTGCCAAAATTAAAGCAAATTTTAGTAGTTTTGTTTACTTGCTGTATATAGAATTTTTTTGCAGAGCAACCAGTTAAAATGTCAACTTATATTAGGGTTGCCACCATAATTTTTATTTGATGCACAACATCTTAATTGCGGTTAAGCTCTTCAGTTTTTGCTTATTGTAACAATTATTTCCTTAACTTTTTTCCGTTGAAATCTTATCTTCAACCTTCCATAGTTAGTACGTCTCGTACTTGATGATAATTTATGTTAAAATACTTTGTTTTCACTCTTTAAAATGAGGGGAAAATATTTTTTGCATTATTTATTTATTTAAAAATATGATGGAAAAATAAGTTGTTTTGTACTACGTGAACGGACTTTTGAACATAAAATTGTTATTAAATACAAAATATATAAGACAATGGCAAGTTCAAGGACAAGAATGACATGAAAAATCGTGAGAGACATATATATTATAATGAACAAAGATTAAGAATCTTAAGTACAATTAAAATGTAATGCAAAAAATAAAAATCGTGGGTGAATATAATTAACCTTGATATTATTATTAGGGTCTGTTTGATTGCAAATGTGGAAAATGGGTGGAAATAAAATGTTTTACTGGGAATTGTAATTAATTGTGTTTGATTGGTATAATTTTCCATGGAAAATGTTGATAATGTTGAAAATGTTTGTCAATAAAATTTTTTTTTACCATTGTACCTAAAAAAATTTCTAATTGCAAAAAAAAAAAAAAAAAGGAAAATATTTACCTACCAAAGCATCAAGAATTTATTTTCTTCGAAAATGTGGAAAATATTTTCTTGGAAAAATAAACACTACAAAAGTTGGAAAATGTGTGCTATCAAACAGGGCCTTAGTACTTTACCATGTTTGCCTAACATTATTTAAATTTTTTTTTTTCTCAAATTCATTTTCAATGACATATTTTTACAATAAAATGTTTTGCATGTAAATTCAAAAAAATTTCTAGCTTTTCCAAGCCTAACAAAAAGACCTTGACTTTAGTCAATTAAAAGCGCTAGAATGTAATAAAGATATTCTTCTAATGGATGTACGGTTTTTCTATTTACCGAAACAACAATGTTATTCATTCTTATATCATAAATAAAAGATAAGTGAATAATCATATATCAAAACATCTGAAATTAATGCTTATTGCATTTCTCATCAGCCCAACAAGAGAGCTTTTACATTTATTGCAAAAGAAAACTCATATTAAGTAAATTAAGATTTTTAGAAGGGTATGAAGAGTTAAGGATTCTTGCCTCCATTGCCACTTCTTCGTCCTGTTGGATCATGCTTGGCATTGTGTCCAGCATAGTCATAATCTAAGGTAGCATCAACCTTTAGTAGCTTTCTTGAATTCACATGGACCTAAAAACATGGAGCTTGAGGATTATTTAGAACAGTGGGGACAGAGTGGAGTTAGAAGTGTCAAAATGTGTTGATCATAATAACATGTGAAAGCACGGTCCAAGAACCATCTTTCCCTTGGCGGGCTGTGTTATGGACTGAACCGCCTCTAAAGCCAAACTGCACCATGACTGTAGAAGCTTGCGGCTCGTGCTAGTGAAAACTTATGAGTAGAATGCATGAATATAGATTATGTCAAGACTGACTCATGTGGACATTGTCCGGTCGGCACGCTTTGTGAAGCAAGTCGACTTGGTTCACACCAATGCCAAAGCACTGAACTGTACCTATAAAGGGAAAAGAGAGTCAATAGTTAGGAAACTAGGATGACAATATGTCATATATATTCAGGGCATGTTTGGTACGCAATATTAGATATGATCAAAACATATTATAAATAAGATTTAAAAGCTTTGATTTAATATAATATTGAACAATCCAATCCAATACAGTGTACCAACATACATTCAATGTAATATTTGTATCGCAGGCTAATACTTAAACATTAACAAGATAGCAATTTATTTGACTTTTGTATCTATAACTTCAAAAGAGAGTGCTACTATTTGTAGGGTTACAAATAGCTATATATTGAGAGAATTTACAACATATAATGCCATATCACGGGAAAAAATCTCTTAGTACAATTGTAACACATTTCGTTAATAATTTGAAATTACTGATGATTTTTGAGATTTGACGTGGGTATAATTAATTACCTGGAGACAGTACGAACAAGAGTAAGAAGAGGGAAACTAGAACAGATATCATGGCTGTGGCCATTGTATATGCTCTTGTTACATACTGCCAAAACCATTGAGTTTAAGATTACAGGTGTGAAGAGAGGGAAGTAGGTATAGCCAGAAGTAGCATAAAGTGCCATTAGAACTGTATCAGAATGGCAACTTTCTTTAGGCAGAGTTTGATTTTTTTTTTTGGATAATTCGAAAAAAGTTGACAAATTTGAGATTTTCACCTTATAAAACTCCCTCCTCGTTCAATTCTTTTGAATTCATTGAATGCTTTTCTCCGTTCTCCCACTAGATCTTAACTATGGTCAATTTAATCATATTCCAATTGAACACTTCAATTTTTTATTATTTTTCAAATGAGAAGATTATTCTCTTTACTAAACATATGCAAATTCAATCACGGCAATGCATTAAGCAACATTTTAAATGTTGGACTGATGTTGAACCAGTGATAACAAAAATAGATAAATAAAAGTAATAATTATGGTTGAACTGGCCAATTCAATAGTTATTTTAGCTTTACAATGATGATAAGATGCATTACATATGAACCCCAATAAGGAAGTCCACTGCATGCACTATGTGCATATATGTTACATCAAAATAGAAACAAACAGTATAATGCATGTGGACACCTTTATCAAAAATCTTGCATGGCTCAAAAATTGCCATTTTCATCTTGGCTTTTGACTTATTCTTAACTTTTCATTTCAATCTGCTTTTAAGTTATAATGCTTTAGTCTCCTTTTGTTTCATTGTATCAATTACTATGAAGAGTATCCAAAAATCCTTGTTGCAATTGAAGTGCTTCTACTACTATTTGAGACAATGCCTAATGTTAGTATTAGTCTGCAATTCACAACTAGACATAAAGTTTGTTCGATTTATTGTTGAATCGTTATGTTTGAAAGTTTAAATTATTAGAAAAGAAATGCATATATTTGAATTTAGTCTACGACGCTTCTCTCGCTTGAAGATTTTTATAATAGATCGCTACTAGTGAAGCCAAGATAGGGAAGCGAAAAAATGTTTTGGGGGCAAACTATATAAATTGAAAATATTTAGAGAAAAGACACATATATATATGTTTAAATTTACCGATCCTATTATATGTGCAAGAAAGCTAAATCACGAGTCCAATTTGGTAGAGTCATCTAAAATCTTTGGTGGTTAGAAATGACAAATGAAAGATTGAAATTTATGAATTGATGGTGACATATTTGAACACAAAGTCTATATATGTCAAAATGGAACTATCTCATCTAAATTAACGATTACGCAAAGCAGAATGAAATGTGGTGTGGTGTAACTATTTATTCAAATTGACTTCTGTGTTATACCTGAAAACACTTCAATATATGCTATCTCTGATCCTTACTCTTCTGCTGTCATCCCTTTGTGAAATCAATTTTGGAGGAGAGAGAGTTGGACAGTGACCTGCCAATTCTGAGCTATTTTCGAGGTTGAAATTAATTTGGAAAGCCATTTAGTGGGAGCGTTGTTAAAAGGTAAACAACTTGTTACGCGTCTGCATACGAGACATGTCACATGGCAATAAGTTAAACGAGAAATCACCTAATTTACTAATTAATCAAAAAATATCCGTGTAAAAGTATACAAATAATGTGTGGATGGAATATGAGTTGCGATATCTCATTGAATTCGGGAGTCTACACAACTCGAATTGACTTAATTATATTTTTCTAGTTAATCGTAGAAAATGAAAAATGCACTTATTAGAAAACAACTTGATTAAGATTCACTAAGCTAATACGATGTTGCGCAGGTATTATAATGTTAAATATAATTTAGTCCTTATTTAGTAGTGATTAAAATCAGGTCTTTAGTAGATTTTCATAAATACTGATGAAATATAATATTAAAAAGTTGTGAATACCATAAAATATGTGATTTTTTTTAAAATTAATGTTTGAAGACAAAATATGGTACTTGTCCTTATCAATGTCAAGTTTGTTGAATAAACCTTCAGGCGAAGGGTACTCTTCCCATCCCATTTCAAATTTGAATAATGCTAGAGGTACATAATGATGCACATAATGGTGATGTGTCAATCATCCAATTGTTGATGTGTAAGTGTGAAATTTGAATTAAATGTTGGATTATATGCCACGTGTAATTATGTCAACCGTTATGTAGATGTTTATGTACCTGTAGCATTACTCTTCAAATTTAACGTAAGTCTTGTACGAATCATAAGCTCCCGCCTCGAACTCCAAGTTAAGTTTCTGATCATTATCGTAATCCATCTGTCTTTTTTAAAATAAATTAACTTTTTCCAAAATTGGTACTACAAATGCAATTCATAGTAATGGCCCTTTTGAACAAAATTCAGCAAAAATGACTATTTGCATCAAAAATGAAAAGGTTAGAACAATTTACGCCACTTTTTAAAGATTTGGGACCACTTAAGCTAATTTTTCATTTTTTAGTTATAAGTTACTTTTTTTTTATTTATATGTGAATTTTTTAGCTCTTATTTCCTCGTAAGTAATTTATGTAATTTAATTTAAATAAATTTCCCTAATTTATAAAATGGTGAATAAATAGTACAACCTAAACCCTCACATTTCATATTAATTTTATACGGCTGGATAATAGAGGATAAGCATACCGGACGTGCTCCCATAGCATTATGAATTCCTAGTAACCAATAGTCATCAATAACTGGTACTAGCTAACTGCATCAAGGCAAGCTTAGCTCACAAAAGACAAACACAATCCATCAATCATATTTAGGTAAAAGGTATATACTAAACGGTTAACGTGTACATCATCAGTCATACTATCAATATGTAGGAAGAAATAAAAACATAGAATTAATCGTCAGCGCTCGTGCTAGCTTGTTGCATCCAAGGCCAGCTTGACTCACAAAGTTCACACGGAGAGTCGCCATCATTATCCTTTATCTTTGTGTCAGCGTTGTTCTTCACTAGTAACTCAGCAATGGCAGCTCTCTCACAAACAACAGCATAGTGCAACGGTGTTTGACCTTCATCGTCCTAACAACAGGAACAGCGGTGGGAAAAAATCACAAAGAAGTATAAACAAAGATTTGGAACTAAGAATGCATTATTCCTATTTTTTCTACCTATATTCAAAATATATGAGCTAAAATATTTATTTTTGGACTGATTAAGAATAAGTAAAGGGTTAGGGAAGAGAGATGGAGAATCTAAGGGATATCATCAGAAAGGATGAAAAAAGACCCCAAAGTACCTAAATGCAACTCCCACAATTATATACAAAAACTATCCATTCTGCAACAATTCTATCATATTACATATTTGAAAGTAAGCTCCTTGCCATATCCGCAATAAAGGTCTTATCATCAGTAGATCACATAAAATGTTGTGTTAACAAGATTAGCAATTTGTAACTCAATTAGAAACATCAGGCCACCGCTGAATTTTAAGCACCAACAAATGTAAAAATAAAAAGAAGCTTAATCATTTGCTTCGATAAACAAATCCTCCTAGACTATCCACTAGCAATATTTTTATTTCTTCATTCCCATTAGAAAATAGAAAAACCCATAATAGCAAAATAAAAGAATCAGACCTTATTTTATCAATTTATCTATTGGAGGGAAAGGGCACAGAATAAATGTAATTAAAATTTTATCAATTAAAACTAGTTCTCCAAGTCACAAATAAAATGATAAATTAGTAAGCGGGAACATTTGTTTGGAGGTGGTTTTCCTTATTTATATTCATAGGAGAATTAGCAGGAGTCAGACAACAAATATTGCTACCTACCTTTGCATTAACATCAGCATTCTTGTTCAAGAGCAACTTTGTAATATTTATATGGCCCCGATCCACAGCCCAGTGCAAAGGGGTACGACCCTCACTATCTGCATCAGTTTGAGTTAACATATTTCAGGTCAGAAAACATAATCTGTTTCACTTGCACAAATCTGTATCTGTTAACAGCAGAATAGTTCTTTGCTGGCTAGAAACGGAATGCAGGCATTAAAACACGAAAATAAATTTGGTAGTATTCCTCTTTCCCTTTTTATATGCAACAAATTTTAAGAACTTCACTACTTGAAGGTCATCTTTTCTGTTATATATTTTGTTTTCTCCTTCAAAGAGATTTAACTAGTTTGAAGAGTTTATTCACAAACCCCGAAATCCCCTGGACTTTCATTAGCAAAGATATCATGTTTTCATCTCAGCGCTAGTCACATCAAAGCAACATAGAAGAGCATTTTATAAATTTGAGGTCAACCAACCTCTCAGATCAGCTGGAACACCGCTTTCAATGCACTTAAGCAACTTCTCTTCATCACCTTCTCGTGCAAAGGCATGTATAGCATCCAATTTTCTGCAAAGGAGGGGAAGATATATCAAGTCAAATTCTCCTTTTCAAAGCATTAAATTGAGAGAAAAGAATAATAAGGTTGCATATTGCATTGAATGCTACTTCACAAATGGGTGCACTCTAATCCAATTAAACAGAAGATTGGACAAGTACTTTTCAGACCTAAAAAAGTTAGCCAATCCACTGTAAACACCGATCCATCCAAGCATATACAATATAGACCTCATAACAGCAATTCTTACACACATATAAGCATGTAAACATGAAATGTAGAAATTGATTTGAATGGCATGTGTACAATGCTTGCAGAAGAAACTACACAACTTTCAGTTTTAGTGTGCCCTGCCCACTTGCTGGCAGTTTCATTTATGCTTGAAAAAAAAATTTGGAACACACACGGTGATGTAAGCAGCTTCCAAGTAAACGCTGAATCAGCAAGGAAAGTTTGGACAAACAGTCATTTATTTAAGAAATGATATTGAAAGAACTCTCTCCTCTTCCATCCCTTACTCTCTTCCCCTTTGGGCAGGGGCGGAGCTACATAGAGTCCAGTGCAGGCCAATGCCCGCACTAGACTTTGGGCATGCCACAGGAAGCTCCCGTGTGCCTGCACTGGACCAGGAGGAGGAGAAGAGGGAAGAAAGAAGGGAGAAAAAGTGTGCCTGCTAGACCAAGAAGAGAAGAAAAAGAGGGAAGAAAGAAGAAGAGAATCTATGTGTATTTCTTGAACCANCATTTTAGTAGTTGTAGCTAGGCTAATATGCTAAGCACTTTCCTTCGCTTCAGTGGGGTAAGATTGCCCCTGCATGTCATTAGCTTAAAAGCCTGGAGACTTCATATTTACTTTCATTTCTTAAAGCAAGAATTGAATAATATGTGGAATTCGTTGTCCACTACCATTCTACAAATTTCTGGGAGAAATAGTGGCTGGGAGAAAAGTGGGAGGGAGAAATAGTGAGTGAAAGAAAAATGGGCTGCTGGAAAAAACTAGTGGGAGTGATGTATTTTTCACTTTGTGAAATATTAAATTATTGAAGTCGAAAGTGTGGTCTGTTATAAAATTAGTTGTACAAGTCTCTTTGTTATAAAGAGATTTTTTTTTTATACTTCAAATTTAACAGTAAATTTTGCCCGCACTGAATTTTTTTACTGGCTCCGCCCCTGCCTTTGGGGACCTACCGACGTCAAAAGGAAAAAAAAAAAAAAAAAATCTATAATTATTTCCCCCTTTATGGCAAGCTGGAAGTTGTTGAGGTAAAAGAAACGAAAAGTTGAATTCAAGCATCAAATAGGGATGGTAAGGACAGAGTCCTAGATGCTTATAGACAACTCGAATAATGACAGACGAGACATGCTTTAAAAGAAACACAGTCACAAACTACAAAAATGGTGAACCTCAAACATACAGAGGAAGTTCAAGATCTTTACAATTCACTTCCAGGTTCCTCCTCGTATATAAAGGAACTAAATACAGGTCCCATAGGTCCCTTGGAGCCTGCATTTGGTGCATCACTGCTCTCTTCGCCTCTGTTCTTCTGCCAGCAGTACATACAGGGAAAAATGGTGACAACAATTGTTAAGAAGGGTGAACGCAGCTTTTTGTTGAAAAGAAAGATTATGATCTCACAGTTGCTCCCATAGCCCATGAGGGATATAATGCAGTAACAATGTCAATATATTTCTCCATTGCTTCTTCTGGAGGCATAGCACCCAATTTCTGCCATGCTTGCCTGATACATCAATCAAAATAAATCTTTCAACTCTTTGGCCGATGGTCACCAACCCAAAGACATTGGTTATCCATCAAAAGTTAATGGACGAAGAAATAAACCACAAAATGCTATTCAAAGCTAAACATGAATAAGAATTTATTAATTTACCCCACCCAATCAGTCTACATCATTTGTTTTTGGGAAACATAGTAACCACAAATAACACTTGTAACATGCATGTCTTATAATTTTCCTATTTCTCAATCATCGCATATCATTAATGAGAAGTGTTATAATCAAAACTATTTAGCTGGCAGACCATAATGTTTTCCATAACAATAGCTAATATAAGTCGAAACTAATCTTAACTCATTATAATTCTTAGGATTGCTTATTGTATCATTATCAATTGGTGATCATCATATTCACATCCCATTATTTCCAACCAAAACAAACAACCATCGATGAAAAAGCTTTTAATCAGAGAAATGGAGAAACTAACAGGAATTCAGCTACTAAAAAATTAATTAACTTGATCCACTCCAAATGACCAATGATTACCATTTGGCCCGAGCAGTGGGCTTGAGCAGGGATGGCTGTGGAGCACTACAGGGTCCCTCGGTGGCAATCTTATAAAACCCATAAAGCTGCAACTGGACCTCATTCGACACATTCCGCGCTGCGCTATCGGCTGCAGTGGCCGCCACAAATGCCGTGGCAGCACTAAATGCCTCGTCCAATTCAGTGCTCTCCACACCCTCCCAATCATCGTCACTGTCGGTAAGATCGCCAACAGCCGAGCTCTCACGTGCTAATCCCTCATTTTCAACGATCAAAGGCTCGCTTTCTCCCAAACCCCTAGATAACGAAGTTACGGTTTCCTCTGCGGGCTTGGATGCAGGTTCCGGTGAAGCAGAACGGGCAATTCGGAGATTTTCATCGCGGAACGCAAAGATTACAGAGAACAATTTAGCGAGTAAAAAAGAGAAAATTACACCAAAGAATACAGATTGAACGAATTGTTGCCACTCAGCCATGATTATGCATATAAAAAAATCAATCGAGTTACAATTCGAAATATAATCAAAAAGAATTGTAGGGAAACCCTAGAAATTCCCTTTTTTTGTGTTTCCACGAATTCAAAAAAGAATTACCCAAAAAGCCGAAAGGCAAAATTCTTAACAGATCATACTGTAATTGGACCCGTGTGATCACAATTTAAATCTTTGATGATTTGTGAAATTTATAACAATTCAAAGGCAGTAAATTAAAACATATTTGAATCAAAATCATATAGTATCAAGTGGAGAGATTATTTTGTTGGGGGCAAGAAAAAGTAGAGAGAGATTGGCAAAATGATTTTCCTGTTATTCTTTGTTATCCACCTGCTTTTTCTTTTTCATTTTTTTTTTTAACTATTTAGGTGCAATTACTTAGTAACTAAACTTGTAATGAATTTGTACAAATCTTAAATTATTGGTTGGTTTGACAAAGTGAATTGTGAGAACTCCTAGCGATGTTGAGAGCTTTACAGATTTGCTTACCTTTGTCCATTCAAAATCTACAAGTAGAAAGTGATTCAATGTTGGTGGTTCAAGAAGTGACAAAAATACAAGATGAATCTTTATCCATATGGGGAAACTTGATACATGAGATTCGATTGTTACTGAATAGATTCCCGAATATTGATGTAAGACATGAAAATCGCCTATCTAATTCAGCTGCACATTGTCTAACTAGGAATTCATGGCATCTTAATGACTTGATAGTGTGGTGGAATGATCCTCCGGACTGTGTCTCACACATTATTAAGCATGATGCATTGATGTAATTCTTTTCAAGTTTTGAATGAAATTTGCTTTGTTATCAAAAAAAAAATCACTTTCTGGGAAGGTCAATTTTTGTTGAAGTAAACATCTATTCAAGTCATCACTTGTATAATCACACATATAGGCCATCGGAATCTCGTTTGCTCCATTTAATCCTTTTTTTATTATTCACAAATACGTTCCTTCAAAAATTTTACTCAAAATCTCAAATTATTTGAATTGCATTCGTCGACAGTTGAGTCATTCTCTTATTGTTATCTCATCGAAATCCATTCATTTGGCAACACCAAGTACATGTTGTTGATCAAAATTAATACTGTATATTGATCTGGTCTTCTTTTATAAGCATAATGAATTGAGGATCTTAGAATTACCACTATAAGCTTGAATGTGGAATTTTCCAATTTGATGTTTTCATAGACAATATTATTGAATTATTGATGTCAATTTTCTACCAATTGTCTAGTGAAATTACCGTGTGAGCACCAAATTATATCTTTTGACTTTTAGTGGAGGAAATTCCTCAAGATTAATCCGAGTGAGGAAAGGAAAGGTTTTTCCTTTTCTAATCCCTCTTTAGATTTAACATAGTTTTAAATTATTATTTTTTTCAGTATATTTCCACTTTATTATTTTGTGTATTTAATTGGGGGGAGAATTTTTTTTTTTTCTCCTTGGAACTTTGCCTGACTTCAATACAGGCAATTTACAAGGACCATTTTGTTATGAAAATTAATCAAGTGCAAAAATGAAAAAAAAAAAAATTAAGGCCAAACTAGTCTCCTTTTTTACAACCATTATTTGGAAAAAATAGAGTTTTTAATAGTGATTTTTAGGAGAATGTACGAATTAAAAAACAGGAAAAATCTTTTTGTTTACGTATGGAATATTTTATGGTGTGAATGTGCTCTTGAAAATGAGTTTGTAGAAAAAAAAAGTTTTAAAATAATGATCGTCAGTTTAAATTCATTTTTCTGGATTTTGGTATGTTGTCATAATGCGACCTTTTTCTAGCTGTCTGTTAGTTTGGTAATATACGGAAAGTTGACAAATCACCTCTCGAATTCAGACAATAATATGATGGCGAAGTAGAGAAAAGAAAGATCCATCCCCTATTTGGTTCATTTTCATATGGTGTACTGTCCGGTTTTCCCTCAAATCTTAGCTTAATTTAGCTAAACCTTATTTTAGACATAATTTCAGTTGTCCGAATCTGAATCTTGCAAGTTGCACCGTTGATCATTGTAGATCCATCTTAGAACTTGTTCTCTTCCACATTGTAAGCACGTAGCATGCCATCCAGTGTTATATTTATTATATGGATTGCATTTCATTTAGTCATTTTTGAGCCCATAATGGGATGTGCCCTTTTATGAGGAAATTGCATGAAACCAGGCCACATCTATAAGTTGTTGAATGATTAAAAGCATAAGAAAGCGAACTACTTGCACATTATGTATCTTACTTCAATTATTGAAAGGTTGTAAAAAGAAGATAAAATCTTGAGCTTGAAAATCCCCTTTTCTTTTTCTATACTTTTCGTCATATCTCTCCTCTCGATTCCATGACCTTTAGTTTCACTCTGTAGGATATACTACTAGGAAATAGGTTTTTCTACTTGTATTAGGATTGAAGTAAATAAGAGTAGTGGAGTTTTAATAAAATAGAATTACAATTATCCTTTATCCAAATCAAAATCAAAATAGGATAGGCATAGTCTCCTGGTGAAAATGGAATTAATAATTTTTCATGCATGCTGATTAAATTGATCCAGAATTTTGGTGATAAGGCTAAATATAATGAAATTGGATGTGGTCAAGTATAATTATAAACACTAAAGTTCAGATTAATTACAACTAATTTAACTTCACTTTCAGTAAAAGAGAACTAATTCCTTTAAAATTTCATTCAATCATAACGTTCATTTGCTGGCTCTAACTTGATTCGATCTTATCTAACTTAACTTTTCTTGAGCTTAATAAACATGATTAAATACGAACTACTCAACGAGCCTAAGATTGACATAGAAGTTTCTAAAAATGGATTTATCTTAGATTTGAAATATTATTTATCGTCTTGTTAATTTGAATAATGCGGAATTAAAAGGTTTACAAGTAAGGAGGGGGTCACAAGTGAACCATTTAAATCTAAAACTCTCCTTAGACAATTTTTTTTTTTTTTTACAAAGTCTTTCAATCTTGCAAATACGCAAATCAAGAAAAACTCAAACAATAAAGGTGCGTTTGATTGCGATTATGGAATTTGCATTGGAAGAAAATAATTCTAGATAATTCAATTGCCTAAAACTTATTTGTATAAAAATTATTAATTAAATGTATTTGATTGATTTAGTTTTCAACTTAGAAAATATTATACTTGTCCGTTTTCTATTGGTGGGTAAATGAGAGAGAGTGAATTTCCTTAAAAATAAAATCATCCTCCCCCTAAAGAAAATATTTTCCTTGATTTTGAGGAAAATATGGTCACGTTACCAAAAGTAGGAAAACATTTTTTATGAAAAAAATGTCAATCAAACAACACAAAAGAAGAAATTTGGGTAGAAAAACACATTTTTCATGAAAAATATTGACAATCAAACGCGCTCTAAGTGTCAACTAAAGATGTCTTCAAACATAAATTTTCTAATCAGTGATAAGTACCTTATTTCGATAATTTTTTTTTTAAATATCACCCGAAAGCCAGAGCTAAACACGTAGACATTTATCATACGTAAAACCTAAAACACGAGTAATGAACAGAAACAATTTAAAATCTAAAACTGTCATTCAAAATCAATCTAAATATGTTACTTAAATCAATTTAAAATCTATAACTTACAAACATTTAATATCCAACTTTTAAAAAAAAAAAAAGGAATCTGTAATTTACATTTTTTTTTATAACTGAACAGTGACACAACGACCACGGTTTATCATGAAGAGTGCCACGACTATTCATACGAACAGTAATTTTTATCCTAAAAGTTTTTATAATAAGTAGATCCGAGCTCTAATACCAAATTGTAATACCCCAATTTTCGTAAACCCTAGGGTGTTACTGAAAATTCAATTTAAAATAACCTTAATGCAAAAACGATAAAAAAATAATAATTTTTTTCAGTAATAAATATCAATCAAAACATGAAGTTTTTATTTCTTCGAAATAAAAGCATAATAACCTACTTATGAAATAAATATGCATTTGAGCACAATTAAAATTAAGTAATCAATCAAAAGATAGAAAAACTGAATCCTTATTTTTCTTAAAATCCTCGACGGCCTACATTACCAAACTACCACGATTCCATTTCACTCGATCTAACTTGTAAATTATTGTAAAAGTAAGTATTCAAAAATAACCAGTAACATACGTCCAGTTTTCATATACAATTAAATAAAACAATAAACTAGATATTTCATACCAAGATATTTCATACCACATTTTATTTGGAGTATATCGGTGATCAAGCGAGATACTCATCGCGTAGTCATTTCGAATTCCCAAAAGATTTCACGTTTCATTATAAAGAACTCAAAAGAGTTCACATTTTGCTATATGGATTATGAAGATCCACTGAAAATTCATGCATAAATTATTGAACACATAAAAATATAAGGAAGTGCAAATTATGCATTTACCTCTTTATTGAAGATTGTAAAATGAAGATAAAATCTTGCGCTTGAAAATCCACGTGGGCCCTGGATGAACAGGTGCGCCCCCTATTGGCTGGGCCTACGTGGCCCTGACACTCTAACAAAGCCCTTTTCTTTTTCTATACTATTCGTCCTATCTCTCATCTCGGTTCCTTGACCTTTGTCTTGTACTGATTTTTCTCGTCTTCATGTATATATAGGGTCTATACCAAATATCACAATTGTATTTCTATTCAACTAGACAACAAGGTCGAGTACTGCCAAGTATATGGATAGTAATGGATTTCAATTTATACGGTATACTAGCATTAGGATTGAAGTAAAGAAGAGTAGTAGTTTTAATAAAATGGAATTACAATTAACCTTTATCCAAATCAAAATAGGATAGGCAAAGTCTCCTAGTGAAAATAGAATTAATAATATTTCATGCATACTAATTAAATTGAACCCGAAATTTGATGATAAGCCTAAATATAATGAAATTGGATGTGATCTGTATTAAGATTGTGAAGTAGCATTGAATGTTGCCTTAGTGAAATTGCAGTTTAGACATGT